AATAAAATATTCTACACATAAACCATTAAAGTTACTTTAAATTTCAACCACACATTCTCCAAAAAATACTATTCATTACACCATTTTCCTCCCCATAATGGTAGACAAACAGGGGCTAAATCATTCAATTTCTTTACTACTTCCGACAACAATTTACTACTAATTGTTGATAATTAAATGCGGATAAATTAGGAAAGTATTTGACAAAAAATATTTTTTCAATAACATTAAATAAGATTTCTTAATTCTTGTGAAAACAAAACTAACTTATATAAATGGGACGGAGAGAGTATATGACATTGTCATTCATTAGTCTTTGATTTATTTTCCCCTTGCCTTGTAACAGATATGATTTTGGCTTTATTTTGTCCTTGCCTTTTGTCAATAAGTTTTTGTTAAGGAGTCTTGTCTTGACTTTCTTCTTGACAATGATGATGAACAAAACAACCAAATCATCATTCGAACCATGTTGCTCTCAGTTTCGCCGTGACCAATGAATCACGGTTTGATTCCTGTTTACGCTCAAGGCTCTTCACATTTGAACAAATTGTTAAAAACACGTGATCTTCTCCGATGGCAGGGGAGGCAACCGCGAGCACTCTAACAATAAAATTAATTAATTTATATATTTGGTTATGGGATTAATAAGATACCCGAGCCACAAGTATATGTACAGGTATCATATTGTAGCAATATCAATGTTGAGAGTGTAAAATTTCATTACATTCAAAAGAAATTAAGTGTGAATTTTTATAGTATGAGAGGTGAAGTAGTTACTATTGGATGGAAGACAGTGTCCTCATCTTAACTGTTGAAGCGTCTTAGCTAGGTGTCCACTTTTGCACTCCCAAGTTTAGAGGGCATGTAATGACTTTGAAAAGCGATCACCTTATAGCTAAGATCGAATCAGAAAAGTAGATGACAAGTTGACTGAGAGGCGTATGCCATTAAGATGTTACATCAATCAAATGTTTAGAAGATCTTGTACTAAAAATTTATTGGAAAAGATAAAGCAAAAAGATGCCTTTGTTAATATACAGGCTAATCGCTCAGAAGATGAGATGCAGCAAATCGTGGCATCTCATTTCAACCATGGAGGGTCAGCCTCTATATGATGCTTCGGTTGAAATAATGACATCGCTTCGACTACCTATTTATGATGGTCTCAACTATGAAAGGTAATATAGTGACGCGGAGTGTAGGACTGAGTTGATTTGTTAGCTGGCTTTTACGTGGCTAGTAATTGAACCCTATTAGGATGAGGCGTAAAAACTCGCTTGATGTAGAGAAATTTATGAAAAAGAAAAAAGAAGTTTCAAATCGATACAACATATTGATCAAGCATGAATTCAAAAAATGTATACTTCGTGTTGATATACATATATAGAATTAAAAAAAAAAATTCAAAGAATTGATGAAATTATAAGGTGTGTGTACATCTTAATAACTATTTAGAAACCTAAACGTGAGAATATTGAATTTTTCGATTAACAAAGCTTTTCCCTAATTATTTGAAGGCTTTCTCTCTCTCACTTTTTTTCCCCTTTTAATTTACGAAAGAGAAAAATCAATTGTCAATCTAGGTTGCTTGTGCCTTTTAACCCCTTCTTTGGTGTAGTTAAAAATTATATTTTTAGTAGATAGTAATAGAAGTTGATAAAAAATATGGTCGAAAAGTTGTGAGCCAAAAGATTTATGATTAAAATTAATTGTTAACTTTAACTTAATTTTTTATCAACTTTTTAGCATGAGCTAAATTAATTTAAACTAAGAACATCTTCAAAAGACTATTTCAATAGAAAATTCTCTTTATTTTAAAAAGTCAATACTTAAAAACAAGTTTCAAGAGACATTTTTAACTTTTTAAAATAGATAGTGAATTTGCCTCTCCAAATTTAGATATCCACTCACTCTCTATTCTTAATTACAATGATTGGATTTAATAAACTATATTTTTCAATACTCTACTTTTTAAACTATTCAAACCACATATAGTCCCTATTTGACAATCATTATTAATTTCAAACTTTTTTTTGCATTCTCATTTTCAACCACATTTACACAATAAAATATTTTGTACGTAAATCTAAAATATTTTCCTACTTTTTTACCACACATTCTTCTAAAAATCATTATTCAGAACTTTATCTTCCCCAAATAATGGTCGTCAAACAGGGGCTTAAATTGATTGATTAATTGACATATAAAAAATTGTCTTAACTAAAATATGAAGAAAAAACAATAAATTTTTCTTTAAAAAAAAATAAAATGAAGATAGAGAGCTTGTTAGAGTGTATAAAAATTTTGATCATCAAAATTTAAAGATGCTCTTTGTAATATATAAGGTACTCTTTATAAATAAAAAGTCTCTTCGAGGTGCTATAAGACTTTAGACCTTTTGGTCAAGTGCCTGTGATGTCTCTCTAATGATATATTTCAATTGAGCAGAGTCGGAAACTGTATTACTTTTGTAATAATTTATTGAGCTCAATAGGTACTATGATGTACAGAAACTCTCCAAACTCTGGCGTTTCGCTCCTGAAAGGTTTCGAAAACTTAGGGCTCTAACCAAAAGTTAACTCAGAAACGTGCTGAAGATTTGATTTTTCACAAAATCTGCATCTATTATCAAGAAGAAATTCATGATACTAAGTCAAGAAAACTAAAGTGTGAGATATAATTGGGGATCAATTTGACTCTTTTGAAGATGTAGGAATGCTTAATATTGCAAATCTTTCTTTAGATGAACCAGAGATAGAGGACATGTTATTCAATGATGCTGGTGATAGTTTTATAGATATTGATGGTGATGGTGATGCTGCAGCTGGAAACAATTTGATTTCAGAACTTGTGAATTTTATTTTGAGTATTGATTAATTATCAATAATTGTTTTGACTTTTAAGATGACAACGATTTTATGTTAATGTCTTGGTTAAACTAGATAGATTGTGGAATTATTGTTATTTAATTTATATTATAGAATTTTTGAAGTTGAATATTGATTTTATGAAATCAAATTAATAATTTTAATACAATGTTTCCCAGAGTTTCGTGTACTACTTTTTCAGAAATAGTGTTTCCCCGTGTCATGTTTGTACGTTTCATTTCCCGTTTTCGTCTCCGTGCAACATAGAATAAAAAAAGGGGTTGAACTCCAACCTTGAGAGCCCCACCCCGCCCCTAGAGCATTGTGGAGGAGGTAAATCGCGGGATGTGCCTTAGCAGGCCGGGGAACAAGACCTACCATATTGGTACCCACAAAAAGTCCAATTTCATATCTTGTAAGAGGCAGGAATCGAACTTTCACACTGTGGCTGCCAGCTCAACTGAGACTACCTCACTCCTATCCTTTGCACCACTGAGTTTTGCCTCGGGGGGCGCCGTGCAACATAGAATAGGTAGGTAGGTTAGTTGTTGAAGGTTTCTTAATATGACAATGCTTTCTGGCTATTCCCTTACCTAAATGCTTTAAAAAAGGAGGTTGAAGTAAACATGTAAAAGTACATGAATTTAATTACATGATCTTCTCTCAAAATTATAATTAAGATCTCTAGCCGAGGAAAATTTGGAAACATGGTGAGTGCACCTTGAAATCCAGATAGGCGTGGCCTAAAGAATATTTTTTCTAGTAGAGGAGCTTTAGCCGAAGACATCTTACGAGTCTTTCCATTATACTCAAATGTAATTAGATTCATTGGATGTATTTCAATCTTAAGTGACTAACGACAACATATCACTTTCAAATGCCTCAGAGATAATGGACCCATGATTTTCAAGTAATCTGCGGCCAAATTATAGTATAATTTGACGTCAGGTCTTCGAGATGGGGGCAAATGCACAAGAGATTTGTGACAAAATCTTTGACCAAAACTACGTCCTCTAATCTAAGAATTCGCTTGAGCTCTTCATAACACGGTCTTATATGCAAATGCTCTAACATAAATGTTCTTGGCTCGGAGAAAAAGCCATTACAGAAAAGATTATCTAGAGGTTGCAACGAAGTTTAGCTTCCTGAAAAAAGAAGTTCAATTTTATAACTCCACATTCGGCTGCAACCTCAATCCATTCATCAATATGAGATGAATATCCATAAACAAGGTCATTGTTGTCAATAGAAATCTGAACAACAAATTCTTCTTGCCTAGCCAGGGTTTTCCCTTCCTAAAAACATACTGATTTTGATGCTCCAATCGGAGAAATAGGGAAAATGGCTAATTGAGAGAGAGAGAGATATTTGAATTTGCATTATTTTCTTCTCTTAGGTGAGAGTATTTATAAATATTCTTCATGGCTTTAGGGCAATTGGGAAATTTAAAAGGAATAACGGGAGGCAGCCTCTTATAGGCGAGTTTGTAACAGATTCTGTTTCAGAATCACATTTTATTCAGTTTGCTTATGTGTTATGCATTCATTGGCCTTTAAGTCGCGCTTTAAATAACTCATGTATACTTTAATAACGTGTTTTTCGCTGGCCTAGAATGGTGGTGGCTTGCTTTACATATGTGTGAGCCT